CTCTGGGTATTCATCGGCAGCAGTACAATTACACACTGGGCGAGTCCACTTGTATGAAAAAGGTGTGGACCCCTTAACACTCCCTCCTTAGTGTAGGATAACAATAATAAAAAGCACTTACCGGCGTAAGAGTCCCAGCTAGCGTCCAGCTGGCAGACAAAAATAAAGCAGGTTGTAACTTAATACAAACCCTGCAAACTAACTGAGAAATCATGCTAGTATTTATATAGAAATACTTCCACTCAGGTACCAGCAGCCAATCACAGCCCAAGCAATGGACTATCCCACTTTAGCATAATGAGATGCTCCATTGCACCATAAATAGCTCTCTTTCTCAATGTTGAATTGGTATTCACTCAGCTTGCTCTACAACTGAGTGTTTATCTTGACCACGATTGTTCGACACTTAGCATGTTATCGATGTGGAGGACTACATTGGACAAGGATTGGCGTTTTAAATATAAAAACTGTCTTGAGTGTGGAAAAATGGGGCACAAGGCATCCCAATGTAGGAACAGAAAAGATACAAGTAGAATAAGAGCTACTAGGATGCCCAACGAAGACAATACCAACATAAGGAAATATGTGGAACTTGAAATTTTAAATAAAAAGATAAAATTGCAACTGGATTCGTGTTCCGACCTCACGATAATCAACGTACAGACATGGAGAAAACTTAACAGACCAACCATGTTACTTTTGTTCTTTTCTCATTCGTTCCTAGTCTCCTTTTTATTTTATTTTTCATTTCCATTTCCATTTGTTCTTTTCTCTTTCATTCTCAGTTCCCTTTTCTCTTTCATTCCCAGGTTGTTCAATTGTTCTTTTCACTTTTATTCTCAGATCATTTTGTACTTTTCTCTTTAAGTCTCATTTTCTTTACTCTTTCATTTGTTGTTCGTTTGTTTTTTTTCCTTTTTGTTCCTTATTCCCTCACTGACAGTTCAGTTTGTTCTTTTCTCTTTCATTTCATGTTTCATTTGTCTATTTATTTTTCATTCGCATTTCCTTTTCTCTTTTCACTTTCATTTTCTGTTCATTTTTTCTTTTTTCTTTCATTTCCAGTTTTTTTTTATCTTTTCGCGTTCATTTCGAGTTTCTTTTTTCTTTCTCTTTCATTCTTACTTCCTTTGTTTTTTCTCCTTCATTTCCAGTTCTTTTCGTTTTTTTCTCTTTCATTCTCGTCCCTTTGTTCTTTTCACTTTCATTCCCAATTTGTTTCGTTCTTTTCGCTTTCATTTCTTGTTCATTTTAATCATTTCGCGCTCATTCCCAGTTTCTTTTGTTCTTTTTCTTTTTCATTCTCACTTCCTTTTGTTCTTTTCTCATTCCTTCTCAGTTCTTTTTGTTATTTTCTCTTTCCTTCCCAGTTCCTTTTGTTTTTCTCTTTCATTTCCAGTTTCTTTTTGTTCTTTACTCTTTCACACTCACGTACTTTTGTTCCTTTCTCTTTCATTCACTATTTCTACTGTTCTTTTCTTTTTCATTCTTCGTTCCATTGCTACTTTTCTCTTTCATTCTCAGTTCTGTTTGCATTTTTCTCCTTCATTCTCAATTCCTTTCCTTGTTTTCTCGTTCATTCTTCCTTCACTTTGTTATTTTCTCTTTCCTTCCCAGTTCGTTTTGTTCTTTTCTCTTTCATTTTCCGTTCATTTTGTTTTTTCTCTTTCATTATCAGTTGTTATTGTTCTTTACTGTTTTCATTTTGTTATTTTCGCATTCATTCTTAATTAATTTTTCTGTTTCCTCTTTCATTCCCAGTCCATTTTCTTCTTTCATTCATTTTTTCTTTTGATCTTTTGGCGCTTATTCCCAGTTTCTTTTGATCTTTTCACTTTCATTCTTAATTCCTTTTGTTTTTTCTTCTTCATTTTCTGTTCCTTGCGTTATTTTCTCTTTCATTCCTGGTACACTTTGTTATTTCCCCTTTTCCTTCTCAGTTCCTTTTGTTTTTTCTTCTTCATTTTCTGTTCCTTGCGTTATTTTCTCTTTCATTCCTGGTACACTTTGTTTATTTCCCTTTTCCTTCTCCTTCTCATTTTCCTTTTGCGTTATTTTTTTTCATTCCTTCTTTGTTATTCTCTGTTCCTTTTGTTTTTTCTTCTTCATTTTCTGTTCCTTCGTTATTTTTCTTTCATTCCTGGTACACTTTGTTATTTCCCCTTTTCCTTCTCAGTTCCTTTTGTTTTTTCTTCTTCATTTTCTGTTCCTTGCGTTATTTTCTCTTTCATTCCTGGTACACTTTGTTATTTCCCCTTTTCCTTCTCAGTTCCTTTTGTTTTTTCTTCTTCATTTTCTGTTCCTTGCGTTATTTTCTCTTTCATTCCTGGTACACTTTGTTATTTCCCCTTTTCCTTCTCAGTTCCTTTTGTTTTTTCGCTTCCATTTCAGGTTCTTTTTGTACTTTTCTCTTTCATTCCCAATTCCTACTTTTTCTCATTCATTTTCAGTTTCTTTCGTTCTTTTCTCTTTTATTCGCAGTCCCCTTTTTCTTTTCTCCGTCGTTCCAACTCCCTTTTGTTCTTTTCTCTTTCATTCCAAGGTTATTTTGTCCTTTTTCCCTAGCATTTTCAGTTCTTTTTGTAATTTTTCTCTTTCATTCTGTCGTGGTAAACCCTCTTACAGTAGAATGAACTCTTCCTCCTCTCATAAATACAAACTCCGAGAGTCGGATAGACGAAATGGAGTAGTAGACACAGTACTAATCTACTTATTACTAACACTATTGTTTTGTATATATCTTCAATATACTTTTTCAACCTACCTTCGTCTTTCATGTTTTTCTTTCTGGCCCCTAAACAGGCCACAACACATTCTCAGGTCCTTTTGTCTTTTTCTCATTCATTCTCAATTCCATTTGTTCTTTTCTCTTTCATTCTCAACTCAACTTTGATCATTTCTCTTTCTTTATGTTTTCCTTTTGTTCTTTAGTCTTTAATTATCATTTCTTTTTTTTTATCTTTTCTCTTTCATTTCCAGTTCATTTTGTTCTTTTCTCATTCATTCTCATTTGTTTCTGTTCTTTTCGCGTTCATTCCCAATTTCTTTTGTTCTTTCCTATTTCATTCCCTCTTTCTTTTAATCTTTTCGCTCTCATTCCCACTTCATTTTCTTCTTTCTCTTTCATTCTCACTTCCTTTTGCTATTTGCTCCTTCCTTCTCAGTTCCTTTTGTGTTTTTCTTTCATTTCCAGTTTATTTTTGTTCTCTACTCTTTCACACTCAGCTACTTTTGTTCATTTCTCTTTCATTCTCCGTTCAATTTGTACTTTTCTCTTTCTTTCTCAGTTCCCCTTGTTCTTTTTACTCTTTCATTCCCATTTCCTGTTATTATTGCCTCTTCCGTCCCCAGTAATCCATTAGTGGCTTTATCACATTTCTTAGGGTGATTTTTTAAAAAAAGGTTCTGTCATAATCTTTTAAATACAGATGAAGCTTTATATTTAAAATCGTAACAGATGAAGATATAAACCTCTGTAAATATGAAATAAAAAATGTACATCCTTTCAATTTTCTTGGATCTTTCTATGATGACGGTTAATTATTACAAAACAGTTTTATTCATTATATAGCCTTTCTTAGTAAGACTTTTATAATAACATAAAAAAAAAACCAATAGGAAAAGTTTTTTTCTATCTGACATATTTAACTTTTTATAAAAGACGAGACTTGTATGTAATTTTGTATGGATAGCCCGTGTTGAGTCGAATTAAAAAAAAGCCTGAAGAAGATTATGAAAATGAATAAGAGTAATCAGTTCAGACAACTAAATATGGCTGTTACCTGAAAATTCTAAAGGTGAACATGAAGAGTCAAAAAACGTGAGAATATTTCCAGTTGAATGCATGGAAAATATAATTTCCTTAACAGCAAAGTTATAATTGATTTTCGAAAAGAGCAGACGTGCTTTATTCTCGTATATACGTTGACCCACAGTCACACATACAGATACACATACATGCATAGACTTGGACGTGTGTGTGTCCTTGTTTCTGTATTCTGTATCACTTAAAACGTATATAAAAACATCCAAAGAAGTGATTTTTTAAAAAAGGAAATATCTTTCTTGATGTTATTATTTTGATAATAACTTTAATTAGGAATTAATATTATTTTTGATAATCACTTTAATAAGATATTGAATTCTCAATTTTCAACAATAGTTGGATTTAGTGAAAAATAATTTAAGTCTTTATAGTGTTTGGCCAAGCGTTGCTTAGATATGGCACAAGGCCGAAAGTATGGGGCACCCAGTGAAGATGAAACTCACTACTCACTCGTAATTGTTCTTTTCTCTTTCATTTCCTGTTCCTTTTGTTCTTTTCTCTTTCATTCTCAGATGCTTTTTCTACATTTTCCCTTCATTCTTAGTTCGTTTTGCTCTTGATAATTTAATTCCTTATAGTGATTGTCCAAGCGTAGCGTAGATGTGGCACAAGGCCGAAAGAATGGGGCACCAAGTTAATATGAAACTCAATATTCTCTCGTAATTGTTCTAGCGAGACAAGCTTGCTAACCATTACACCGCTTCGTGGCGCGCTAATTTAAGTCCTTATAACTTATTTCTGAAAGTTTACGCCAAAAATATACACAAAGTGCGGAAACCTTATACGAAGATAGTTTATGCCGAATGAATTGCTTAAATAATGTCTTTTTTTTCACGAAATAACCTTGAATTGTGTTTTTTCGTGCCCGGAATTGACCTATAATCAAAGAATGGTCAAATTCGGTCGATTATTTTAAGATTTATAAGCTTTTGTTTATTTTTCAATAGTAATTCATTGTAACAAGCGACAAGCAAATCAAATCAATTGTATATTAAAGGTTTGGTTTATTTTGTTTTACGGCATATCAACCTCAATGGATTATATAATGTCGACAACATTTTTAGGAGAGATTCGTATGAATAGAATATGTATTCTTTGGTTTAGATTGGTTTGGTTTATTTTGTTTTACAGCATATCAACCTCAATGGATTATTTAATGCTGACATTTTTAGGATAGATTCGTATGAATAGAATATGTATTTTTTGGTTTAGATTGGTTTGGTTTATTTTGTTTTACGGTATATCAACCTCAATGGATTATTTACTGCCGACAACATTTTTAGGATAGAATATGTATTCTTTTCTTTGGATTGGTTTGGTTTATTTTGCCCCACCGCACACCAACTCCAATGGGTTATTTAATGCCGACAAAATTCTTTATTGCTGGTAATATTTTGTTTTGTCCAAAATATGTTTCTGTTAATATTTTTCCTTCAAAATTGTATTGCTGGTAATTTTTCCAAAAGTATTGCTGGTAGTAGTTAACTATTTGCCCATAGCTGGGATCCTAACAGGTGTTATGACCCCGGGTAAGGGTGGACCTGGGAACACCAGCAATTAAAAGATAGTTCCACGCCCCTCAAAACCTCCTGATAAGAGGCCTTGCTGCTGGACGTAGTTTTAAGTCTTACCCAGTACGCGGATGTAGTTTAACGTCTTACCCAGGACGGCGTATATTAAATTTAATAATAAATAAATCCAAATATATAATTAAAGTTTAAAAAGTAAATAGAAATCAGTTACAAGTAGAAGAGTCCTCAGTATCTGGGACTGAGCGTTTATAATACACTGTCGATGTAGAAATCAACACTGCATAATGGCCGATACTATTTACATTATTCGGACAATTGTCCTTATCTTTGTCGCCATATTTGTCACAACCTTTCGGCAGTTGTACGCTCCGGCCTTCTTCAGGTGGTTGGAATGTCGAAATGAACCCTTTATTTCGCTCACTGGGGTAGACTGGCGACAAAAATGAGGACAATAGTTCGAATAATGTAAATAGTGTGCAATTATTTGTTTTGCAAACGTCAGTTTAGCAGAGAATCTATTTACACTGTTTACGTTGTTCGGATTGTTGTTACCTTCATAGTCGTTTAGGTTGTTGTACGCCGCGAGCTTCTTCAGGTTTTATACGTTGGAAATTTGAACCGAATCCTTTATTTTGTCCACCGGGGTAGAATGTTCTAGTTCCAACTGCTATGCATTTTCTGGATATCAGTTTCAATTATTACCCATTATTTCGGGCGAAACGTCGTGAATATGCGAATAAAGATGAGGACAACAGTCGGAACAATGTAAATAGTGTAAATAGTTACAATACCTCATCTGAGAAATAGAGAGAGATGCTGAAGATGAATATGTCAAGAAAGATGAGGACAACAGTCCGAACAATGTAAATAGTATAAATAGTTACAATACATCATGTGAGAAATAGAGACAGATGTTGAAGGTGAATATGGCAATAAATGTGAGGACAACAGTCCAAACAATGTAAATAGTGTAAATAGTTACAATACCTCATAAAAGAAATAGAGACAGATGTTGAAGGTGAATATGGCAATAAAGATGAGGACAACAGTCGGAACAATGTAAATAGTGTAAATAGTTACAATACCTCATCTGAGAAATAGAGACAGATGTTTAAGGTGAAAATGGCAATAAAGATGAGGACAACAGTCGGAACAATGTAAATAGTGTAAATAGTTATAATAACTCATCTGAGAAATAGAGGCAGATGTTTAAGGTGAATATGGCAATAAAGATGAGGACAACAGTCGGAACAATGTAAATAGTGTAAATAGTTACAATACCTCATCTGAGAAATAGAGACAGATGTTGAAGGTGAATATGGCAATAAAGATGAGGACAACAGTCCGAACAATGTAAATAGTGTAAATAGTTACAATACCTCATCTGAGAAATAGAGACAGATGTTGAAGGTGAATATGGCAATAAAGATGAGGACAACAGTCCGAACAATGTAAATAGTGTAAATAGTTACAATACCTCATCTGAGAAATAGAGACAGATGTTTAAGGTGAATATGGCAATAAAGATGAGGACAACAGTCGGAACAATGTAAATAGTGTAAAGAGTTACAATACATCATAAAAGAAATAGAGACAGATGTTGAAGGTGAATATTTCAATAAAGATGAGGACAACATTCGGAACAATGTAAACAGTGTAAATAGTTACACTACTTCATCTGAGAAATAGAAACAGATGTTGAAGGAGAATATGTCAATAAAGATGAGGACAACAGTCGGAACAATGTAAATAGTGTAAATAGTTACACTACTTCATCTGAGAAATAGAGACAGATGTTGAAGGAGAATATGTCAATAAAGATGAGGACAACAGTCGGAACAATGTAAATAGTGTAAATAGTTACAATACCTCATCTGAGAAATAGAGACAGATGTTGAAGGTGAATATGGCAATAAAGATGAGGACAACAGTCCGAACAATGTAAATAGTGTAAATAGTTACAATACCTCATCTGAGAAATAGAGACAGATGTTGAAGGTGAATATGGCAATAAAGATGAGGACAACAGTCCGAACAATGTAAATAGTGTAAATAGTTACAATACCTCATCTGAGAAATAGAGACAGATGTTGAAGGTGAATATGGCAATAAAGATGAGGACAACAGTCCGAACAATGTAAATAGTGTAAATAGTTACAATACCTCATCTGAGAAATAGAGACAGATGTTTAAGGTGAATATGGCAATAAAGATGAGGACAACAGTCGGAACAATGTAAATAGTGTAAATAGTTATAATAACTCATCTGAGAAATAGAGACAGATGTTTAAGGTGAATATGGCAATAAAGATGAGGACAACAGTCGGAACAATGTAAATAGTGTAAATAGTTACACTACTTCATCTGAGAAATAGAGACAGATGTTGAAGGAGAATATGTCAATAAAGATGAGGACAACAGTCGGAACAATGTAAATAGTGTAAATAGTTACAATACCTCATCTGAGAAATAGAGACAGATGTTGAAGGTGAATATGGTAATAAAGATGAGGACAACAGTCCGAACAATGTAAATAGTGTAAATAGTTACAATACCTCATCTGAGAAATAGAGACAGATGTTTAAGGTGAATATGGCAATAAAGATGAGGACAACAGTCGGAACAATGTAAATAGTGTAAATAGTTATAATAACTCATCTGAGAAATAGAGACAGATGTTTAAGGTGAATATGGCAATAAAGATGAGGACAACAGTCGGAACAATGTAAATAGTGTAAATAGTTACAATACCTCATCTGAGAAATAGAGACAGATGTTGAAGGTGAATATGGCAATAAAGATGAGGACAACAGTCCGAACAATGTAAATAGTGTAAATAGTTACAATACCTCATCTGAGAAATAGAGACAGATGTTGAAGGAGAATATGTCAATAAAGATGAGGACAACAGTCCGAACAATGTAAATAGTGTAAATAGTTACAATACCTCATCTGAGAAATAGAGACAGATGTTGAAGGTGAATATGGCAATAAAGATGAGGAC